TACTTCATTGTTTCCAGGTCTCTTCAGTGGACAAAGCTGGGAAATTTTCTTCTCTCTCTTCCTGCCTCCCACCTTGTCTCTCCCTGTATGTGTGTGTGTGTGTGTATATACACACACATATATCTGATTTTTTATTCTATACTGTATATAAACATATTCAGAAATATAAGCACTGTCTCCCTACATATTACTGAAAATAATTTTAGACATATATTGATATATGTATATAATATTTATTGAGTTCAGTTCAGTTGCTCAGTTGAGTCCAACTCTTTGCGACTCCATGGACTGCAGTATGCCAGGCCTCCCTGTCCATCACCAACTCCCAGAGTTCACCCAAACTCATGTCCATTGAGTTGGTAATGCCATCCAACCATCTTATCCTCTGTCATCCCCTTCTCCTCCTGCCTTCAATCTTTCCCCAAATCAGGGTCTTTTCCATTGAGTTAATTCTTTGCATCAGGTGGCCAAAATATAGGAGTTTCAGCTTCAGCATCAGTCCTTCCAATGAATATTCAGGGTTGATTTCCTTTAGGATGGACTGGTTGGATCTCCTTGCAGTCCAGGGAACTCTCAAGAGTCTTCTCCAACACCACAGTTCAAAAGCATCATTTCTTCAGTGCTCAGCTTTCTTTATAGTCCAGCTCTCACATCCATGCATGACTACTGGAAAAACCATAGCTTTGACTAGCCAAACCTTTGTTGGCAAAGTAATGTCTCTGCTTTTTAATAAGCTGTCTAGGTTGGTCATAACTTTTCTTCGAAGGAGCAAGCGTCTTTTAATTTCATGGCTGCAATCACCATCTGCAGTGATTTTGGAGCCCCCAAAAATGAAGTCTGCCACTGTTTTGACTATTTCCACATCTATTTGCCATGAAGTGGTGGGACCAGATGCCATGATCTTAGTTTTCTGAATGTTGAGTTTTAAGCCAACTTTTTCACTCTCTTTCACTTTCATCAGGAGGTTCTTTAGTAGTTCTTCGCTTTCTGCCATAAGGGTGGTGTCATCTGCATATCTGAGGTTATTGACATTTCTCCCAGAAATCTTGATTCCAGCTGGTTCTTCATCCAGTCCAGCATTTCGCGTGATGTACTCTGCATATAAGTTAAATAAGCAGGGTGACAAGATATGGGCTTGACGTACTCCTTTCCCAATTTGGCACCAGTCTGTTGTTCCTTGTCCAGTTCTAACTGTTGCTTCTTGACCTGCATACAGACTTCTCAGGAGGCAGGTCAGGTGGTCTGGTATTCCTATCTCTTTCAGATTTTTCCACAGTTTGTTGTTATCCACACAGTCAAAGGCTTTGGCATAGTCAATAAAGCAGAAATGGATGTTTTTCTGGAGCTCTCTTGCTTTTTTGATAAACCAGCAGATGTTGGCAATTTGATCTCTGGTTCCTCTGCCTTTTCTAAAACTAACTTGAACATCTGTTGACGGTTCACATATTGTTGAAGCCTGGCTTGGAGAATTTTGAGCATTACTTTGCTAGCGTGTGAGATGATGCAGTTGTGCAATAGTTTGAGCATTCTTTGGCATTGCCTTTCTTTGGGACTGGAATGAAAACTGACCTTTTCCAGTCCTGTGGCCACTGCTGAGTTTTCCACATTTGCTGACATATTGAGTGTAGCACTTTCACAGCATCATTTGTTAGGATTTGGAATAGCTAAACTGTAATTCTGTCACCTCCATTAGCTTTTTTCGTAGTGATGCTTCCTAAGGCCCACTTGACTTCACATTCCAGAATGTCTGGCTCTAGGTGAGTGAGCACACCATCGTGATTATCTGGGACGTGAAGATCTTTTTTTTATAGTTCTTCTGTGTATTCTTGCCACCTCTTCTTAACATCTTCTGCTTCTGTTAGGTCCATACCATTTCTGTCCTATATTGAGCCCATCTTTGCATGAACAGTTCCCCTAGTATCTCTAATTTTCTTGAAGAGATCTCTAGTCTTTCCCATTCTATTTTCCTCTATTTCTTTGCATTGATCACTGAGGAAGGCTTTCTTATCTCGCCTTGCTATTCTTTGGAACTCTGCGCTCAAATGGGTATATCTTTCCTTTTCTCCTTTGCTTTTGGCTTCTCTTCTTTCCACAGCTATTTATTTGTAAGGCCTCCTCAGGCAACCATTTTGCTTTTTTGCATTTGTTTTTCTTGGGTATGGTCTTGATCCCTGTCTCCTGTATCATGTCATGAACCTCCGTCCATCGTTCATCAGGCACTCTTATCAGATCTAGTTCCTTAAATCTGTTTCTCACTTCCACTGTATAATGGTAAAGGATTTGATTTAGGTCATACCTGAATGGTCTAGTGGTGTTCCCTACTTTCTTCAATTTAAGTCTGAATTTGGCAATAAGGAGTTCATGATCTGAGCCACAGTCAGCTTCCAGTCTTGCTTTTGCTGACTATAATAATAGTAAATATAAATAATAAATATAAATAATATTATTTATAAATAATATAAATATTGATAAATATTAATAAGTGTAAATAATATTTATTACATGTAATATATATTATAAATAAAATATAGATTATCTAGGCATCAAATAGTGAAGCCACTTGAGAATGTTGTTTACACTAAGTGTTCTCAGCGGAGGTTCATTGTGCTTTATGCCTGAGGCCAGGTATAGAGTCATTGCATGGTTAACACAGAGTTCATAGGTCTGAGTACTTGTGTATCCTTAAACAGATGAGTAGGAAAGAGCATAGATACAGACAGTCAGTTTTAGTGCAGCAAATAGAATGCCTTCTGTAAGCAAGGTGAGTGCTTGTCATGTACACTTACACAGTGTGAGACCGCCAGTGAAAACTACTATCCAGGGACTTCCCTGGTGATACAGTGAATAAAATTCTACCTGCCAATGAAGGAGAGACAGGTTTGATCCCTGGTCCAGGAGGATTCCACATGCTGAGGACCAACTAAGCCCATGTGCCACAACTACTGAGGCTGTGTCTTGCAACTGCTGAAGCCTCTGCACCTAGAGCCTGTGCTCCTCAACGTTCAGCGCAATGTAGCCTCCGCTTGCTGCAACTAGAGAAACACTGTGAGCAGCAATGAAGAAAGTGTGCAACCAAAATAAATATAAGGGCAGGGTTGGTTTTTAAAAATAATAAAACTACTGTCCAATTTGAGTACAAATTAACAGTGACTTCAAAATAAGGCCAAAGATGTCACTTCAAAATAAGGCCAAAGATCAAGCAAGCCATAGCTGATATTTTGGATGAGCTGATGATGCCTTAAAGAAAAGCCAGCAACCCAAAGCAATGTGTAGTGGTTGGTAACAGGAATGAATTCAGAGAGGAGGCTTAAAACCAGGTGGGATGGGGGAAGGAGGCAGGCTGTATTAGGAGGAGAATCAGCAAGTAAGGTACATATTTGCATTCCCCCTAGGAGGAGGGGATGAGGGAGAAAAGGACTCTGGGTCACCTCTGATCCCACTGAACTTCTAACTAAAGTCAACTAATTTGTCCTTGAACAAACTTCACTGTTGTAACTCTTTTGGTACTTACTAGGTACAGTGTCTCATAAATAGCTTTACATTGCCTCATAAATAACACTCTCAACAAGGACTGCCGATTGTCCTTTTTAAAAACAGCTTTTAAAGGAAAATTTTTAAAAAACAGCTTTATTGAAATATAATTTATGTACCATAAAATTTACCCATTTTAAGTATACAATTCGATGATTTTTAGTAAGTTTACAAAATAATGCAATTGTCACCACAATTTGAATTGTACATTTCATCAACCCAGAGAGTTCCTTTGTGCTTGCAACAGAGCGGGATGAGCATAGCCCTTAGCAGGCAGCCATTGCTATGCCTCATTACTCCGTACCCTGTAACTAGGCAAGCAGTCTTGCTCAGACATTGGTTAGTGCCTCAGTGCTGCCCTGCTCCTCCCCCCACCACCCCTCAGCAAACAGCTGTCAATGAGTGACCGTTAGGGAAGTGATTCAGTCAGCGGTCAGTGGTGTGGTAGTCACCAGGTGGAGAGTGAGTTAGAGGCAGATTCAGGCCTTCTTCTGCAAGCTGTCCAGCTCACCCATTCCTAGAGGGCTCCAGAGACCTCACTAAGGTCTTCCACTAGCTGTGGCCCAGGCCTTGAGGAGTAGTGAACCTCTTTCCCCATCCCTGTCTGTCCGACCTACTAGCAGTAGATGTCTGTCTGGTCACAGTTTGTGAGATCTGGTCTCCCCTTTTGAGCGACCTGAGGGGACGGCGAGCCAGTTAGGTTGGGGGCCTGGCTCCCTCAGGGATGATAGCTGGGCAGGATGTGGGAACCAGGCTCTGAAGGAGCTGCCAGCTGAGATCTGTCTTCTCTTAGCCAGGACTGGGACCTTGGAGGGTGAAAGTTGTACCTTAGGACTTTGCCCTTTCTTGTCAGGACAGAGAATTAACATTAAAATCTGGTAGAGATTTACAGGAACACGTTACCTGACTATATGAGCTCACCTCAAGAACAAAGGATCTGACACCGAGAAGTCTGCAAGAACTAACTGCGCCCATCCCTTACCTTTTGCTTTTAAAAGGAGCTTGCTGAAAGCTTTCAGTAACTTTGGGATTCTTAGAGCATGAGCCACCCATCTCCTTGTATGAATCTGCAATGAACCTTTGTCTGTTCCAAACTCTACGTTTTAGTATTGACAGGCCTCACTGCGTCAGGCACATGGCCTTGAGATTCGGTAACCTGCTCACTTGTAGTCAGTTTCCATTGCCACTCCCAGCCCTAAACAAACCGCTAGTCTACTTTCTGTCTCTCTAGATTTGTCTTTTCTGAGTGTTTCATATATTGTAGTTTCTAATATATGGGGTCTTTCACTGGGCATAATGTTTTTAAGGTCCATCCATATGATAACAGGTATGAATAGTTTGCTACTACCCTTTAAACAGTGTATTTAAATAGTCTGGTATTTTGAGATCAGATGTGGTTTCATGATTCTGGTTTTCTAAAGTATCTCCTTAAATGACCAAATGCATTATCTTTTTCATTTTCTTTCTAGGATTTGGTGGCTTTTGAATATCAGTGGACTAGCTTCTTCGCTAATTTTGACACAGAAATTCCCTTCTTGCTAGAACTGTCTGAATCTCAGGCGGGTGAGGTATGTAAAGGAAGGGTCAAAAAGAAAGAAGAAATTGGCTAATTTATTTGTTTTTATTTTTATTAAAAAAATTTTCAGACTACATCACTACCAATCCTCATTTGGTTATCATCTCCTTAAACTTTGTTGCATGATGTAAAGAAATTTTTAGTTTCTGTGCCACCCCCTATATTCTTAAACTTAATATTAAGAATATATATATTCTTAAACTTAATATTATGTTAAGAATATATATATTCTTAAACTTTGTTGCATGATGTAAAGAAATTTTTAGTTTTTGTGCTACCCCCTATATTCTTATATATATATAAGAATGTATATATATGAATATCTAATATATATATATATAAGAATATGTATTCTTATATATATAAATATATATATATTCTTATACTTTTTTTTTCTGTGCCAGTTTCTTTATAATAAAGATACTCATTTCTTAGAGGTGGTGTCCTTGTCAGTCAGGAATTCTGTTGGGCACCAGTTAATAAGCCTAGGAATAATTCTTCACATATGAATAGCACACCTTTGTCAGTTGAACCTCTCGGTGATGCCAAACTTTCTTTCTAAGCAAACAATAAAGTGAAGTTGCTAGGTTCAGGCTAGGAACCATTCCATGAGTCAACTGAGGTATGTAAATCAAGAACTAAGGTATAGAACTGTTCCCAAAAGTAGTCAACAGGCAGGATCAAAGCAATCTTGAGCTTGCACTTGAGCTTACTTTGGGTTTGAACTGTGTTTTCTGTGTTTCACTATGACCCAGTATAAGCCCTGCTCCTGATCTTTAGAACTGGAGTTGATCTTTGTTGCCATGCATTTTACTTTTACCTTTATTACCTTATGCTATAAACCCCACAGTATATTGGTATTATTCTTGTTTAGTCAGTTATCTTTTTATCTTTAAAAACACTTTTTAAAAGATTTTAAATAATTAAAAAATCTTATATATCTGCATATGCAGTTGAAATTTCTGGTGCTGTTCATTTCTTTGTGTAGAGACGGATGTACATATGGTATAATTCCCTTCTCCCTGAAGGATATCCTTTAACATTTTTTGTAGTGTGAATCTTCTGATGATTCAGAAGAAAATTCTTCCAGCTTTTGTATGTCTGAAAATATTTTTTTCACTTTCATTTTTAAAAGTATTTTTGTGGTATATGGAATTCTAGGTTGACAATTTTTTTTTTCAGTACTTGAAAGATGTTGTTTCACTCTTTCTTACTTGCACTGTTTCTGATGATGTCTTTTATCTTTTTCTTTATTCTTCTGCATGTAACTGGTCTTTTTTCCTTCTGGTAGCTTTGAACATTTTCTCTTTCATTACTGGTTTTGAGTAGTTTGATTACGATATGTCTATAAATGTAATTTTTTAGCTGTTCATTTTTAAAAATTATTTATTTTCATTTTTGGCTGCTCTGGGTCTTCATTGCAGTGAAGACTTCATTGCTTTCTGTAGTTGCTGTGAGCCAGAGCTACTCTCCAGTTGTGGTGTGCAGGCTTCTCACTGCAGTGGTTTCTCTTGTCTCAGTGCACAGGCTCAAGGCATGTGGCCTTCAGTAGTCGCAGTGTCTGGGCTCAGTCGTTGTGTGGGGGCTTTTCAGTGCGCAGGCTTCAGTAGTTGGGGCACATGGGCTTAGTTTCCTTGAAGCATGTGGAATCTTCCCGAACCAGGGATGGAACCTGTGTCCCCTGTGTTGGCATTCTTAACCACTGGACCACCAGGAAAGTCCTGTCTGACTATAATTTTGATCATACTTCTTATGCTTGAGTTTGTTGAACTTTTTAGATCTGTGGATTTACAATTGCATCAAGTTTGGAACGTTTTTGGCTATTATTTTTTCGGTCCTCTTTCCCTTCAGAGACTCCAGTTACCTCTATATTAGGCCACTTGAAGTTGGCCTACCTCTTACTGATGCCCATTTCCAGTTGTTGTTGTTTTTTAATTCTTTTTTTTTGCTTCTCTCATTACTGATTCTAAGGGTGAAAAATATTCAAAAAAGTATACTCAGGGAAGTGTCACTCCTGGTTTCTTGCTACCTTGTTCTCATTGCCACTTTCTTCCCATTCGTTTTCACCCTTTCTTTTACTAATAGGTAACAAATCTCTGATAAACTCTTTTCTGTCTCTTTTGCACAAATGATCAGATACATTGCTATTTTCTTATAAACTCTTCTTTCTTTCATTGAAGAGTAGCATACTGTATGTAGTCATTTCTGCTTTGCTCTTTTAACACTTTGCTCAATGTATCCTAGAACTCTCTCTAGGTCAGTTCATTGAGAGCCTCCTCATTCTTTGTTATAATTCGTAGTACAGTTGACCCTTGAACAATGCAGACTTGAAATACCTGGATCCACTGATACATGGATATTTTTCAGTAGTAAATACTACAGTACTGCAATTCACGATTGGTTGAATTCATGATTGGATTCGGAGAAACTGCGAATGCAGAGGGCCAACTATAAGTTATACACAGATTAACCCATGTGTTCAGCTGTACTCCGTTGTGTGGATTTATCTTAATTTACTCAGCCACTCTCTTATGTATGTGTATTTAGGTTATTTTCAATATTATGCCATTGCAAACAGTGCCATAGTAAATAACTCTGTGGTTATGTATTTTCATATTGTTGGATGTTTGTATACCTAGTAATGGAATTGCTGGCTTACAAGGTAAGTGCATTTGTAGTTGTGTTAGCTATTGCCAAATTTCCCTTCAGAAAGGTTGTACCGATTTGCATTCCCACTAGCAACATATGAGAGTGCCTGTTTCGCCACAGCTTCCCCAGTAGAATGTGTTGTCATACTTTTTAATTTTTCCACAGTCTCATAGATGAGAAGTGATATCTTGGAATTATTTTAGTCTTGTTTTTCTAATTATGACTAAGCTTGAACACTTTTTCATATGTTTGAAGGCCATTTTATATTTTAATTTCTTGTCTTTTTCCCATTTTAATATTGACACAGTATTATTAACTGGAGCTATAGAATACAGGTTTTAGGTCTTTTGTCCTTTTTTTTTTTTGAGTTCTTTATAGATACTTAGGCTATTAACTTTTTGTCTATGATATGTATTCAAAATATTTCTTCCTTTTTATCAATTGCTTTGTTTATGGTGGTTTCTTGCCATGCAAACTTTTTATCTTTATATAAATTTATTAATATTTTCTTATATTGCCTGTGGATTTTAAATCATATATACAGAAAGGCTTATTAAGGTTAAAGAGGAATTTAACCCATTTAGTACTTGTATGGTTAAATTTTTAAAATTTAGATCCTTAATTTACTTGAAATCTTCTTGTGTATATCATGTGAGATATGAATCTAATTTTATCTTTTGTCCCCAAATCTAGTTAGAATCCTGACTATGTTGCTCACTAGCTCTGTGACCTGGGACACGTTTAAATTAGCCAGCTCATCTGTGGAGAGGGTATATGATAGACTGGAACACATAGGGTTACAGTTGACCATTGAACAGCACTGGTTTTAGGGACCCAGACCCTCCACACAGTCAACATTCTGCATGTAACTTACAGTCAGCCTTTTGTGTACACAACCCCTCCTGTACTCAGTCATTCCATATCTGTGTTTCCTTGGCATCTGCAGTTCCACATTCACAGATTCAACCAACTGCAGATCATATATTACTGTGGTGTTTTCTATTCTAAAAGATCCACATATAAGTGGAACTGTGCAGTTCAAACCTATGTTGTTTAAGGATCAACTGTATTTGAGATAATATATTTAAATGCTTATCATAGTTCACATGGTAAACCCTCAATAAACTTTAACTGTCATTACTTCTAAAGAGTTTTTACAAATCAGTAAGACAAACTCCAATTAATAAACAAACAGAGGATGTAAATAAACAGTTCATGATCAAAGGGAAGTCCAAATGGCCATTGAACATATCTGAAATATTCTGCTTCCTTAAAAAAATCAAAGTAAAATAAAACAACAATGAGGTACAGTTTTTCATTTGTCAGAATATTTTTAAACGGACATTTAATGGACAGTGTTTACCTTGAGACAGGCACACTCAGATATTGTAAGTGGAAGTGTACATTGATCAAACTTTTTCGAAACCAATTTGGCAATATAGTTCTGCCTTTTTACCCTATAATTTCAGTTGCCTTAAGGACATAATCAGAACTGTAGATAAAATTTATGGTAAATTCATTGCAGTATTATTCGTGGTATAAGAAAGTTAGTAGCAATATAAATTTCCAAGAATAAAGGACTTTTAATAAACTTTGGTACAATCTATATATATTATGACTATACCATAAAAAAAAAAACTTGAAGAAAATGTACCAGAATGTTCACAGTTCTTAGAGATTGTAGCTGTTTTTATTGTGTTCTAAAATAAGCATATATTACATATTTAAATTGAAAGGGAAACAGTCAGTATTATTTAAGGAGATTCAAATTGCCTTTTGAAGTTTTGAACTCTTGACATAGATCCTGCATGTTAATGTTTGATTAGTGTTTAGCACTGTGCACATCAAAGCTGAGAAGTACTACTGTGGTTTCCTGGGAAACTTCTTTCAGTACTTCTAAGTCCCTTGGATTCTTCCTCATTACTGACATTAGATTAGTATATTAGAATTAGTATATATTGTAATTTATAGAAGTAACATAATTCTAATTATTGGAAATGTAGAAATAAATTTTAATAGAAGAAAAAAATTCCTTTATGGTTAGTAACTTAGAACACAAATGGTGGTTCTTCCAACTTCCTTTCAGTAGTTAAAAACTAAAAATTTGACAAGAATTTCTTTTCTTTACCTTCCATTTCCTTTCTTTTTCTTTTGCAGCCATTTGCCTTTTTCCTTTGCTAATTTTTGTTTGTCTGCTATCCCCAAAATTCATGTTGTCCTCTTTTGTTCTTGTAACAATCTGCAAACATAGCTCTCCTTCTTTTTCTCATTCTCTGTTTCTTTGACACACTTTATTTATATACCTGCATGCATATATCAGGGGTTTGTGATTGTTTTATAAAATTGTGATCTTAATATATATAATGTTGGCTTCTTTTTTAGCCATTCAGAAGTTACTTTAGTCATGGAATGATCTCCAGTCATATAACTGAAAATAGGTAAGAGTCTTGGGAAAGAAAGGTGAATGGTGATAGAGAAAATGGGGTTGATAAGGGAGTGGAAATGGGGGAAGAATCTCAGTCTAGAAGCTGGATCAAGAAAGTATGAGTTGATTTTCTTACAGAGTAAGAAATCCATACTCTGTAAAATCCTTTCACTCCTTTTGTATTTTTGTATTAAAAAGTTTTATATTAAACTGGTTTTTAAAACATCGTAACTTGCTAAAATCTAAAGAAAGGAATTTTTTTATTCCATCCCCAGCCCAGCAAAACTAGAGAAAGCAGGGTGTCCAAGGGCTTGGCAGGCATCAACTGTGGCTTTTAGGGAGTAAAAGGGATCCAGCATAAAAGTCCAGCCCCAGGAAGACATGGGAGCATGAGGGCTGCTGCACTTGTTTTCTTGTAGTGATTCCTCAGCAACCATGATAATCAGGAGGGCCAAGCTGGGGATAGTTCCTCTGATGAATAAATGAAAGTTCAGTTCAGTTCAGTTGCTCAGTTGTGTCTGACTCTTTGCGACCCCATGGACTGCAGCACGTGAGACCTCCCTGTCCATCACCAACTCCCAGAGTTCACCCAAACTCATGTCCATTGAGTTGGTAATGCCATCCAACCATCTTATCCTCTGTCATCCCCTTCTCCTCCTGCCTTCAATCTTTCCCCAAATCAGGGTCTTTTCCATTGAGTTAATTCTTTGCATCAGGTGGCCAAAATATAGGAGTTTCAGCTTCAGCATCAGTCCTTCCAATGAATATTCAGGGTTGATTTCCTTTAGGATGGACTGGTTGGATCTCCTTGCAGTCCAGGGAACTCTCAAGAGTCTTCTCCAACACCACAGTTCAAAAGCATCATTTCTTCAGTGCTCAGCTTTCTTTATAGTCCAGCTCTCACATCCATGCATGACTACTGGAAAAACCATAGCTTTGACTAGCCAAACCTTTGTTGGCAAAGTAATGTCTCTGCTTTTTAATAAGCTGTCTAGGTTGGTCATAACTTTTCTTCGAAGGAGCAAGCGTCTTTTAATTTCATGGCTGCAATCACCATCTGCAGTGATTTTGGAGCCCCCAAAAATGAAGTCTGCCACTGTTTTGACTATTTCCACATCTATTTGCCATGAAGTGGTGGGACCAGATGCCATGATCTTAGTTTTCTGAATGTTGAGTTTTAAGCCAACTTTTTCACTCTCTTTCACTTTCATCAGGAGGTTCTTTAGTAGTTCTTCGCTTTCTGCCATAAGGGTGGTGTCATCTGCATATCTGAGGTTATTGACATTTCTCCCAGAAATCTTGATTCCAGCTGGTTCTTCATCCAGTCCAGCATTTCGCGTGATGTACTCTGCATATAAGTTAAATAAGCAGGGTGACAAGATATGGGCTTGACGTACTCCTTTCCCAATTTGGCACCAGTCTGTTGTTCCTTGTCCAGTTCTAACTGTTGCTTCTTGACCTGCATACAGACTTCTCAGGAGGCAGGTCAGGTGGTCTGGTATTCCTATCTCTTTCAGATTTTTCCACAGTTTGTTGTTATCCACACAGTCAAAGGCTTTGGCATAGTCAATAAAGCAGAAATGGATGTTTTTCTGGAGCTCTCTTGCTTTTTTGATAAACCAGCAGATGTTGGCAATTTGATCTCTGGTTCCTCTGCCTTTTCTAAAACTAACTTGAACATCTGTTGACGGTTCACATATTGTTGAAGCCTGGCTTGGAGAATTTTGAGCATTACTTTGCTAGCGTGTGAGATGATGCAGTTGTGCAATAGTTTGAGCATTCTTTGGCATTGCCTTTCTTTGGGACTGGAATGAAAACTGACCTTTTCCAGTCCTGTGGCCACTGCTGAGTTTTCCACATTTGCTGACATATTGAGTGTAGCACTTTCACAGCATCATTTGTTAGGATTTGGAATAGCTAAACTGTAATTCTGTCACCTCCATTAGCTTTTTTCGTAGTGATGCTTCCTAAGGCCCACTTGACTTCACATTCCAGAATGTCTGGCTCTAGGTGAGTGAGCACACCATCGTGGTTATCTGGGTCATGAAGATCTTTTTTTAATAGTTCTTCTGCGTATTCTTGCCACCTCTTCTTAACATCTTCTGCTTCTGTTAGGTCCATACCATTTCTGTCCTATATTGAGCCCATCTTTGCATGAACAGTTCCCCTGGTATCTCTAATTTTCTTGAAGAGATCTCTAGTTTCCCCATTGTATTGTTTTCCTTTATTTCTTGGCACTGATCACTGAGGAAGGCTTTCTCATCTTTCATTGCTATTCTTTGGAACTCTGCGCTCAAATGGGTATATCTTTCCTTTTCTCCTTTGCCTTTTGTTTCTCTTCTTTTCGCAGCTATTTGTAAGGCCTCCTCAGGCAACCATTTTGCCTTTTTGCATTTCTTTTTCTTGGAGATGATCTTGATCCCTGTCTCCTGTACAGTGTCATGAACCTCTGTCCATAGTTCTTCAGGCACTCTTGTCTATCAAATCTAATCCCTTGAGTCTATTTGTCACTCCCCCTGTACAGACATAAGGGATTTGATTTAAGTCATACCTGAATAGTCTAGTGGTGTTCCCTACTTTCTTCAATTTAAGTCTGAATTTGGCAATAAGGAGTTCATGATCTGAGCCACAGTCAGTTCCTGGTTTTTTTTTTTGCTGACTGTATAGTGCTTCTCCGTCTTTGGCTACAAAGAATGTAATCAATCTGATTTTGGTATTGACCATCTGGTGATGTCCATGTGTAGAGTCTTCTCTTGTGTTGTTGGAAGAGGGTGTTTGTTATGACCAGTGAATTCTCTATTAACCTTTGCCCTGATTGATTCCATATTCCAAGGCCAAATTTGCCAGTTATTCCAGGTTATTTGCATTCCAGCCCCCTATAGTGAAAAGGACATCTTCTTTGGGTGTTAGTTCTAGAAGGTTTTGTAGGTCTTCATAGACCCATTCAACTTCAGCTTCTTCAGCATTATTGGTCAGGGCATAGACTTGGATTACTCTGATCTTGAATGGTTTGCCTTGGAAAAGAACAGAGATGATTTTGTCATTTTTGAGATTGCATCCAAATAGTGCATTTCAGACTCTTGCTGACTGTGATGGCAACTCCATTTCTTCTAAGGGATTCTTGCCGACAGTAGTAGATATAATGGTCATCTGAGTTAAATTCACTCACTCCAGTCCATTTTAGTTTGCGGATTCCTAAATTGTCAGTGTTAACTCTTGTCATCTCCTGTATGACCACTTTCAATTTGCCTTGATTCATGGACCTAACATTCCAGGTTCCTATGCAATATTGCTCTTTACAGCATCAGACTTTATGTCCATCACCAGTCACATCCACAACTGGGTGGTGTTTTTGCTTTGGCTCTGTCTCTTCATTCTTTCTGGAGTTATTTCTCCACTGATCTCCAGTAGCATATTTGGCACCTACCTACCAGCCTGGGGAGTTCATCTTTCAGTGTCCATCTTTTTGCCTTTTCATACTGTTCATGGGGTTCTTAAGGCAGGAATACTGAAGTGGTTTGCCATTCCCTTCTGTGCACCATGTTTTGTCAGAACTCTCCACCATGACCTGTCCATCTTGGGTGGCCATACATGGCATGGCTCATAGTTTCATTGAGTAAGACAAGGCTGTGGTCCGTGTGATTAGATTGTTTAGTTTCTGTGACTTTGGTTTTCAGTCTGTCTGGCCTCTGATGGAGAAGGATAAGAGGCTTATAAATGAGAGTAGATCTTTCCTTTCTTTTCTTCCCTAATTCCAGTCCAATCTGATAAGGAGACAGACTACCCTGGCTAGGATTCAGAGTCATCTTTTTCTGCTCATTGTGTCACTTAGCTTAAATTAAGCATCAGAATAGAATCAGAGTCATGTTTACTTTTTAAGAACCACAGCTTGATGCTTAAGAACAGTGAAAAGAAATGCAAAGGATTTTCCACGTGACATACTCTTAAGTGAAACAGGTGTCATTTTGGAGGCTCCAGAGAGCTCTAGTACCATAGTCCTTTATGTCTCAGCACAGAAAAGAATTCAACAAGAGGGAAAGTAATAGGTAAGAAGTGATTTATTAGAATAGTATGATTTTGAGGCTTACAGGGGGCGGTTGACAGATACCACATCTCCAAGAACCTTCTTGGCTACAATTTTATAATCATAGAAAAAGTGGGGAGGGGGAGACCTTCTTTGTCTTTCTGGAGTAGACATCATGCTTCCATCATCAGCTCCTCCTCTAGATTGAGCAGGAGAGTTTTCTTTTCCTTACATGGTCAAACTAGGTTCACAAATTATTGTTTTTTTGATGGGTGCAGAGAGCATGTCGTAGCTTACTGAGCTCACTGGGCAAGATGTAGATCTCATGTCACCATTGTTTTAAAGTTTTGGGGCGTATTTCGTGCTCCTGTTGCATGGTTTTGTGGTTAAGCAAATGTACTTTCTTGAATAATCATAAACTTACAGGGGTCTACCATATTCTTTCTACTTACAGTATCCTAGTGGGATTAACTATTTAATCACCTGCTTTGTCCCTTTACTCTGTCCCTATCATAAGGAAACTTCCAGGAAAGGATATGGGATAAAGAAAGCTGACTTAGTCTGTTTTTGCTGCTGTGACAAAAATATCATAGATTGGGTAGCTTATAAACAACAAACATTTATTTCTTCATTACAGTTCTGGAGACTGGGAAGTCCAAAATCATGGCACTGGCAGATTTGGTGCCTGGTGAGGGCCTACTTTCTCATAGATGGCTGTCATTTCACTATAACCTCATGTGGCAGGAGGGGCAAGGGGATCTCTCTGGAACTTCTTTTTATAAGAGTCTGTTTTATAATCCTGTTCGTGAAGGCCCTATCCTTATGACCTAAGTACTTCCCCAAATCCCTCCCTCCTAATACCATCACTTTGGTGGTTTGGATTTTAGCAAGTTGAATTTGGGAAGGACACAACATTCAATCTATAGCAGAAAATATCTTTTAAAAAAACCCTTTAGTCATTGGCTATTTGTTGAGAAGGTATGACATACTAAGCAACAGATATATGATTAAAAAATAAACCAGACACAGTCTCTTCCCTCATAGAGTGTATAACATGGTGGAGAAATAGGGCATTAATCAAGCATTCTCACACACACAAAAAAATGTAATTGCAAAACTCTGATTCCTTGAAGGAGAAAAGAACATGGTTACTGTGAAGCCCACACCCCAGAGCTGACCTCTGGGGGTAGATGTAAATGATAAGTAAGAATAATTAAGGGAGAAAAGCAGTGGTCCTGAGATGAAAATGTCAGGAACATAAAAGAAATGTGTGTGAAGGAAAATAAATTTGAGTTTCCCTGGAAGGGGGAGTTGGGAGAGTCGACTTTCATGGAGCTAAGGAAATTGTCTAGGGCAGACCATGTAAGTCTTTGTTGGCCACGAGAAAAATTTCAGCCCTTCTGAAAGTAAAGGCTTTGTGTGTTTAAAAGATGGTCTTCTCTGCCATGTGGAGAATGGATTATAGGAGGGCAGAGTGGAAAGCACAGAAACTACAAGGAAGCATTGCAGCCAAGAGGAAAGAGAGAAAGAGGGGGATGGTTGCAGGAATGGGTAGGTATGAGAAAATTTGCAGCTGGGCTTTCCTCATTCCCTCCTAAAAGCTATACAGGAATGGTTAACAGCTCTATTGTCTGTCTTCAGTGTATCACAACTGCTCTCATTCTTGAAAATGTATATGTCTATCAAAATGCTGTTGTATAAAACTTGGATTTTGCTCCATCTCTGCATCATGAACAGCAAACTTATAGAACTTTCTCCTTAAGCAGCAGGAGAAGTTGAAAATGTAAATGTGTCTTGGGTTTAGTTATGTCTTCTCTTCTCAACTAACAGGGAGCATTAGGTAGACTGTACTGATCACCTTGCTCAAACTGCAGGATGCCACTCAGAGAAGCCCAAGAATGCACTCATTTCGAAGTTTCCTTGGCCAGGAATCTCTTCACTAATCACATGTTTTTGACTTGCCACTCTAGCCCTAACAGGCAGCCATTCGTTCTCTTTGGTAATCATTCCACACGAGAAAACCTCAATGCTGGCAACTTTAACTTCCCTTCTGAAGGGCACCTAGTACGCAGCACTGGTCCCAGTGGGAGCTTTGCCAGACACATGGTGAGTGACTTGACTACCTGGTGCTTAATTCGTTTTATTATCCATTGGGGAGGAGGGGAGCTAGATAAATGGAACCTTTCCAATTAGTGAATTGATTTAACCTTAAACTTGAAGTTATTTTGGTGTAAAAAGTGATTAAAAACTGTTTTTATATAAAAGTAGTAGATATGATTTGACAGCATATTTAATTTTAAAATATTTGAAAGGAAAAGGATAAAAAAATACAAGCCAAACTTTAAGATAGCCAATTAGTATCAATAGTAGAATAAGAATTTTAAATTAACTTGAAAATATTCATTCCAAGCCTAAGTTTATATCTTGACTATTACATTTCAAGTGCTGAGAGAGAACTATCACCTAGAAATCTATATCCAGTGAAAATCCCATTTAATAATGAGGAGGTAATCAAGACATGCCCAGATGAAAGAAAACTTAAAAGAATGTTACCAGCAGACCTACCTTAAAAGAATGATTAAAGGGGGACTTCCTTGGTTCCCCAGTGGCTAAAAGACTCCACGCTCCCAATGCAGAGTGCTTGGGTTCGATTCCTGGTCAGGGAATTAGAGCCCACATGCTGCAACTCTGAGTTCGGATTCTGCAACTGAGAGTTCACAGGCCACATGTTGCAACTAAGATCCAGAGCAGCCAAATAAATACATAAAAATAAGTATTAAAAAAAATGACTAAAGGAAGTTTGGGTGAAATGAAGAAATGATTTAAATAGGAAGGACTCTTAGAACAATAAGGAGGATAAAAGTACATAGTGATGAAACCAGTACATTTTTTTGTATACTTTACAATAGTGAATTTTATCTCAAGAAATTACAAAAAAAGAAACCAGCCCCAGTGCACACTCACATTGTGGATGATATAGCCAGTTTCTGTTTTTAGGTCTTTATTACTCCAAAGCCAAAGGGCTTTTGCTCATTAATTCAGTAATCCTCTTTGAGTGTCTACTATGTTCCAGTCACTATGCTAGGTTGAAGAAAATTTTATTCATGGTCTTTGCCTTGGAGGATCTCACAGACTAGTAGAAGAGTCAGTGAGGATTGCTTTCTGAAATGTTTGGAGCAATAATTTAGCCATCCATTATACACCTTAGAATGGCTAAAACACTGACAACACCAAATGGTGGAGAGAATGGAGCTTCAGAAACTCTCATTCATTACTGGTGAGAATGCAAAATGGTGCAGCCACTTTGGAAGACAGTTTGGCAGTTTCTTACAAAACGGATGATAGTTTTAGCGTTAGTTATACTCCTTAGTATTTACCAAAAGAGTTGAAAATTTATGTCCACATAAAAAGCATCTACACAAGGAATTTATTTATAACATCACTTTTCATAATTGCCAAAACTTGGAAGCAGCCACGTTGTCCTTTAGTAGGTGAATGGATAAATAAAACTGGTAAATCTATATAGTGGACTGTGTTTCAGTGATAAAAAGAGCTATCAAGCCACAAAAAGACAAGCTGTTGGTGCTGCTGCTGCTTCGTCACTTCAGTTGTGTCCTGCTCTGTGTGACCTAAGGACTGCAACCTGCCAGGCTCCTCTGTCCATGGGATTCTCCAGACCAGAGTACTAGAGCGTATTGTCATGCCCTCCTCCAGGGTATCTTCCAGACCCGGGGATTGAACCCAGATTAGGGAAGCCCCACAAAAAGACATGGAGGGACCTAAAATGCATATTGCCAAGCTGAAGAAGCCAGGGACTTGCTTGGTAGTCCAGTGGTTAAGAATCTGCCTTGCAGGGGTGGGGTGGGGCAAAAAAAAAAAGAATCTGCATTGCAATTCAGGGAACACCAGTTCAATCCCTGGTCTGGGAAATAAGATCCCACATGCCGTGCCACAGCTACTGAGCCTGCACATTCTGGAGCTTGTGTACCACTGCTAGAGAGCCTGAGTGATGCAACTAAGACCTGATCTAGTCAAATAAACAAATAAACATATGTTTTTTAAAATGTTAAGCCAATCTGCAAAGGCTACATAGTGTATGATTTCCACTCTGTGACATTCTGGAAAAGGTGCAACAATGGAGACTGTACAGTAAAGGGAATTCCGGTGGTCCATTGCTTAGGACTCTGCACTCTCTCTGCCAAGAGGCCAGGTTCAGTGCCTGGACAGGAAACTAAGATCCCACAGGCCATGTGGTACAGCCAAGAAAAAAACCCAGTGGAGATAGTAAAAGATCAGTCATTGCCTGGGGTTTCGGAGGAAAGGAGAATAGGTGGATCACAGGGAATTTTTAGGGAAGTGAAATTATTCTGTATGATAACTGAAATGATGAGCATGTCATTATACATTTGTCAAAATCCATAGAAACTACAGTACGAAGAATGAGCCCTAATATAAATGGTGGACTCTAGTTAATAATAATTTCTCAGGACTTCCCTGATGGTCCAGTGGCTGAGACGCCATGCTCCCGATCCAGGGGGCCCAATTCCCTAGTCAGGGAACTGGACTCCACATGCCACAACTAAAGATCCCATGTGCAACAACTAAGATCCAGAACAGCCAGATGATAAATAAAAATAAATATTTAAAAATAATAATTTATCAATATTAGTTCATCAGTTATAACAAGTATAATATTATAAGACAAATAATAGGGGAAATTGTGGAGGCAGGGGGAAGGAGAGAAGGTAATATGGGAATTCTCTCTACTCTTGGATCAGTCTTTCTTTAAACCTAAAACTGCTCTAAAAAATAGTTTATTAAAACAAACATTTAGCAGATTATTTACACAACTTTTTATAATAATTGGAGTGCTTTATTATACAAATATGAAAACATAATGAAGTCGAGGAACTTACTTGAGAGCTGGTCCTGGGACGGTGGGGGCCCTAGTTATGAACTTTCATCTTCATTCAGCTCTGTTCCAAGGTGACATACTTATCTTTTCCATTTCTGTGCTATTTGTGAATAATTTACAAATTATATAGGTGATAGTACATCTGCAAATTCAGATTATCTGAGCACTTTTACATTATACATGCAGATCCTATTGTACCAATTTCCTTTTTAGTGTAAACATCAATAAAAATTTTTTGCAGTATAGTCAATTTACAGTAGTGTTAGTTTCAGGTGTACAGCACAGTGATTCAGTTATACACACATACACACACACATATATATATTCTTCAGATTCTTTTCCCTTATAGGTTATTATATTTTGTAATATTGGCTATGCTATACAGTAGGTCCTTGTTATCTCTTCTATATTAGTAATGGATATATGTTCATCCCAACCTCCTAATTTGTCCCTCCTCCCATCCCCCTTTCCCCTTTGGTGACCATACATTTGTTTTCTATGCCTGTTGGTCTCTTACCATTTGCAAAGTAAGTTTATTTGTATTTTTTTCTTTTTTTGGTTCCACATGTAAGTGATAATATATGATATTTATCTTTCTCTGGCTTACTTCACTTACTGTGATAATCTCTAGGTCCATCCATGTTGCTGCAAATGGCATTATTTCATGCTTTTTTGGCTGAGTAATAGCCCATTATGTATATATGTACCACGTCTTCTTTATCTATTCATCTGTTGATAGACATTTGTGTTGTTTCAATGTCTTAGCTATTGTCAAGAATCCTGCAGTGAACATTGGTGTGCATGTATCTTTTCCAGTTAGGATTTTCTCTGAATATGTGCCCAGGAGTACAGGATCATATGGTAGCTCTATTTGTAGTTTTTTGAGGAGCCTCCATACTGTTCTCTATAGTGGCTGCACCAGTTTATATTACAACCAATGATGTAGCAGGGTTCCATTTTCTCCATAGCCTCTCCAGCATTTATTATTTGTAGACTTTTGATGATAGCCATTCTGATCAATGTGAGGTGATACCTCATTGTAGTTTTGATTTGTATTTTTGTAATTAAACATGTTTAGCATCTTTTCACGTGCCTTTGGCCATCTGTATGTCTTCTTTGAAGAAATTTTTTCATTATTTAAATCTTCTGCCCATTTTTTTCATTGAGTTGTTTGCTTTTTTGATATTGATCTGTATGAGCTGTTTGTATATTTTGGAGATTAATCTATTGTCAGTTGCATTTAAATAAATTTGAGGTTAATATATGCTTACATAAATTTCTGACATCATCTAAGGAAGCAGGTTTGAAATACATGGCACCTTTTAAAAAAGCCTTTAGTAAAAAAAAAAAAGCCTTTAGTTAGGGAAAATTTGGAAATCCAAGGAACATGTTGGAAATAAGCCTGTTAACCAACAATTAGAATTATGTACATGATTTTTCATTTAGATTCATGAATATGTTGATCATATACACTATGGTATGATTTAGATTAGTCAGAATTAAGTCTTAATTTCAAATCTATAACTTGGATTACAGAAAAATGCCATTATTTTCTCTTGTGACTTAAACAGTGGAGTGAAATAGAAGGAATGGGTATTTGTGTTGTATTTAGCTATTTTTAATATACTGTACTAATTTCCTTCCCTTTAGTTCTTGTGGTAGCATTTTTGCATTTTGAACCTACCATCCTAGGAACCCTGATGAGATGTTGGATTTTCAAAGGAGAAAAGGACATCCATTTCCATCTGTATAAATGAACAACTAAGCAGGGAACAAAAATAAGAATTTAAAAATCTAGAGAACTTATTTTCTCTCCTGGAAGGCCTGTGTACAAAGATGAAATACAGATGAAGGTGGGGACCTGGGTATCACCTCCTTTCCTGAGTTTGTAGCTGCCCCTCCACATCTACATATCATTGTCAACCAAGGTCCTCACTGTGAAAGGTCTGGACTAAATATTAATGACAGTCAAAAAACCTAAGCACATTTCATCTTCTTTTCCTTCTAAATTGTTAATTTGGCATCCTGGGCTGACCCAACAGCAGCCTCACAAAATAGCCTAAGTTAACACACAAAAGATATCTTTGGGAAAGCAACAGTTAAAGGTGACCTTTTCCCCTGTGCCTTTCAGTTCAGTTCAGTCACTCAGTTGTGCCGACTCTTTGTGACCCCATGGACTGCAGCACACCAGGCTTCCCTGTCAAATCACCAACTCCTGGAGCCTACTCAAACTTAGGTCCATTGCATCGGATGCCTTTAAAAAATAATAAATCAGCTGTTGGTAAAATAAAATGGATTTCCATTAATTATACACTTTTAAAAGTCCCTCCCCTTTTTTTACTTTTTTTTTCTGACATCCAGGTAGTACAGTGTGTTTCACCAAAGGGACCCCTGGCTTGTTCAAGAACATACTTTTTTGGAGCTACTCATGTTCCTTACTTGGGTAAGTCCGTGTAAGTTGTCTCATCAGCTTGCCTATTCTCCCATGAACTAGAGATGGACTCAGGATTTACTCCTTTCCTCAGAAACACACTTTATAGCCTCTAATTCCCTGTCTGGTTCCAAGTGGAGAGTTGTGCCTAACATGTTTCACAAAAAGTGTATTTCAATGGAGGAATAATTATCAGCTCAGTATATATTAGGTCTAATCATATGTAAGACCATGTAATTGGTATCAGAGGGAAGGCAAAGATGAGTCAGCTGCAGTTGCAGATAGGAGATATGGGCTGCAGGGGGAGCTTGGATGACTCAGCCAGGTGCCTGTTATTCTTGTGAGAAAAGTGAGGAAGAGCCACAGTAGAAGGGTATCCATATCTGGGAACATTGACAGGAGCAAGTGTCAATGCTCTTGAAAGGCTAGGCTGACTGAGGCTGTCCTCCTTGCTGGGCTAACCAGAAGCTACAAGACATCCAAAGAGACATGGAGAAGAATAAATGAGGATCCCGGCACTGTTACACAGAGGAGAGTACATTAGAAACCAGGTTTTTCTCCTGAGAGTTATTATGTAAGCTGGGAAATTCTGAACATAACATGACTTGAGTTGAATTAAGGAGATGAAAAAAAGAGGTAGAACTGAGCCTGTTTACTTATACCTTCTTTTTTAAAAAATTAAATATAGAGGCAGAAACTTTCTGAAGCCAAAGATTCCACATGTCTTCTTTGGTGTTTAGTGGTGATGCTGAGTGTGTTGTCAAGATCATTGTCCAGGATAAAGGTCTAGGAGGATATTCACAGAAGCTCGGTTTCACTATTATTCGTACTTGTACAGTATTTAACTCAAAAGAAAAAAAATACAGTCCTTGACATCTCCTTCAAAATAGGAAATTCTAGTCTCCTTGTAAAGTGTCTGCATTTCCTGTAATCTTCTCACATTTGTAATAAATGGTCCTCTTTCACAGGAGATGACAACAAACTGTCCAAGAAAACTGAACAAATGTAAGTCTTCATTTCTATTACATTTTTTTCTTTCTGAGTTGTTATTCAGAAGTTGAGACCATCACATCTACCTCCTTTTGAGATTGACATTGGGTGGGACATTTTCTTTAAGACTGAGCAGAGCTGTGTGGTCTCCCAAGATGTCTCAGCCCCTGTCTCTCATCTTGGAGTCTAGGCTAGAGACTCTGCCAAGTTTGCCATCTGTTCCTCTCTCCAGAACTCAGAGACTTCCTACCTGCACATCCATGCATTTAAATACCATAACCCTTCTTTTTTTTCTTTTTTTAAAATGAAGAACCAGGCTTCCTTATTTCTTTTTTTTTTTTTTTGGCTGCACTGGGTCTTTGTCTGTATAAAGAATGAGCTTTCTCTAGTTGTGGCAAGCAGGAGAGTTACTCTTGCAATGTGTGGGCTTCTCCTTGTTGTGGCTTCTCTTGTTGCAGAGCTTGGGCTATAGGGTGCATGGGCTTCATTAGTTGTGGCTCATGGGCTCAGTAGCTGACGTGCATAGACTTCGTGCTTCATGGCATGTGGGATCTTCCCGGACCAGGGATTGAACCTGTGTCCCCTGCATTGGCAGGTGGTTTCCTAGCCACTGAATCACCAGGGAAGTCCCACATAACTCTTCTTAATATGTTTTCTATGTACTTCATTTCATATTAGGGACGTTCTAAAAAATAAAACATCCTGAAACCCACTGCTAGAATCTGTGTGAAACTGTATCTGGTCTGAGAGGTATTTCCTCTGAATCTGACACACAGACTTATGAACCAGAACTAAGATCTCAACTCAGGTCATGCAGCCTTAGAAAGGTCCTAGTGTTGACCTCCGCACCCTCCTACCCCACACCCCCATCACTATAGCAGGAAACCAAAAATAGGAAGTAAACTCATTAATACTTATAGTAGTCTACTTGGGTTACCCTAACAAAATACTGTCAATGGGGTCGCACAGAGTCGGACATGACTGAAGTGATTTAGCAGCAGCAGCAACAAAACACCACAGCCTGGGTGGTTTATACAACAGAATTTATTTTCTCACATTCTGGGGGCTAGAAGTCAAACATCTCAGTAGCAGCAGAGTTGGATTCTGGTGAGGCTTCTCTCCTTGAGTTGCAGACCACCACCTTCTCATGTGTCCTCACATAGCCTTTCTTCTGTGCTCACATGTAGAGAGAGAAAAACCTCTGGTATCTTTTCCTCTTATCAGGACACCAATCCTATTGGATTAGGGCCCCACCCTTATGACTGCCTTTACCTTTACCTGTTATCTTTACCTTTTAAAGGCCCAGCCCTACCTCCAAACATTGAGGGTTAGGGCTTTCCTATGGATTTTGGAAGGACATAATCAGTCCATAATAATTCAGGAATCTCTGAGTTCCATAAAGGATTTTCATTCAGAAATACGAACATTAAATAGAGTTCTGTTATTACCTAATTAGGTATCCTGGCATAAACTAGTTAGGTCTCTGCTTCCCAAAGGTAGGGGACAGACCACAGAGAATCATTTAAGGATCTTTTTAAAAAGATATGTTTCCCAGGCTATAGTAGTTCTCAAAACCACTAAATCAGACTTTCTAGAGTAGGATCCATATGACTCTGTTCAAAACATATAAAGTAACATAGTCACACTAGAAAATTTGCAATAAAGGAAAAAAAATAAGATTAGCCATAATTCCTCCTCTTTGACACTGCCTATTAGTATCTTAATGGATATCTTTTTGTTGTTTTTTAATTATACATACAGGTTTTGTGTAGCTGCAGTTACAGTATGTATAGTTTTTTGTGTGGGTTTTCTTTATTTTAGCATCAAGTCAACCACATTCTCATATGTTGATGGATATGTATTGTCTTGCTTTGTACCTGCTTGTATTTCCATGCCAGTTGTGCTTAACCATTGCCCTGGATCTTCATTCTGGACCCTTAGACATCTTGCCTAAACCAAATCCATTGGTACTGTACTTCAGAGACGGATGTTGAGTGGTGCTTGGGCCTACATCAGGTGATTGTTAAGTCACAGGGCTAGTGGAACTGGGGCCTAATGGAGTCCTAGTGAAGGCAATAGCAGCACTATCCAGGCATAGAGCAGGCCCTTCCCTAATCATGGGTCTCTGGACTCCTGTCCAGGCCTTTTTATGAGTCAGAAGCCAGGAAGCTTTGTATTGAACTCTTGCCTGAGGGTCTGTATAGGAGAAAGCCAGGCAGGGTGTCAGCCTGACTAATGGTACAGAGCGATGTTTGAAGTCAGCTGGGTGAGGAAGAGAGGAATTGTTTATTTTTGGCCTCTGTAAATCTTTGCCCTTAGAGTTGAGATGTGGAGGCTTCTTGTCATATCTGAAAGTGACCAAGCTCTTGGACAGTGTCCCTGCCGGACGCCTTCCTTACCAGGACGTACCCCCCTGCTGTAGCCTAGTCAACAATCTTCAGGATATGTTGAACCTTGGAGCTGTCATTTTGTTATGTGTTGTTTCTCATTTTCTTCTACCCAACTCCAGTCTCTTATCTGCAATGAAAAGGTGTGGTGGTGGAAGCCAAGAAGGAAATTGGCAGTGTGGTGTGGCACAACGGAAAAGCGCAAGGCTAAGAGCAGACCTGAGTTCAATTGTGTGATTTTCTATGGCTTTGGACAACTTATTCCACGACTATAGGCCCTACTTGTTTTGTCTGTAAGATGAGAATGACCAAATCATTTCTCTGATTCTCCCTGCTATCAAACTCCCTCCTTTTGCCTTCCTTTACCTGTTATAGGATTCTCAGGCTTAAACATAGGCATATTCTTAGGTAAGACAGTTATTTGCCAGACACCTCCCTTACATTTTGAGGCCTTGTGAGTGAGTCCCTTTTCTCTGCAGGTAGTGGTGGTGGTTTAGTCACTAAGTTGTATCTGACTCTTTGGATCCCACGGACTGTAGCCTGCCAGGCTCTTCTGTCCATGGATTTCCCAGGCAAGAATACTAGAATGGGTTGCTGTTTTCTTCTCCAGGAGATCTTCCTGACCCAGGGATCAAATTTGGGTCTCCTGCATTGCAGATGGTACTGAGCCTCCAGGGAAGCCCCCTTCTCTCTGTAATTATCCTAATAAGACCCTGGGTCTCCTCCTGAGGCAATGGATCTCAACCAAGGGCAATTTTACTGCACCACTCCCACTAGTCCCTTCCCAACCCCCACCCCCAGGGATATTTGGCAGTGTCTGGAAACAGTTTTGGATGTCACAACTGAGGGTACTACTGAAAGGCCAGGAATGCTTCTGAATATCCTGTAATAAACAGGGCAGACCTCCCAGCAAAGAATTGTTGTTTCGTTGGTAAGTTGTGTCCAACTCTTTGTGATCCCGTGAACTTGACTGTCTTCGCCAACAAAGAATCAGCTGGCCCAAAATGAAGATTGAAAAACCCTACCCATTAGGGAACCAGATTGGGATTTTCTAGAGATCTTCATGGCATTCCCCATCTGGCAAAGAAAACACCCTTCTTCTAATGGCTTTGGGAAGTGCAAAGTCAGATAAGAAGAGCAAGATTAGGCAGGGCCAGGGGGTCCTTCCCCTTGTCAGGTGTGATTCTTTCCTTGGTCCTTGTCTTGTCACAGTAAAAGAATTAAAACGACAGACTATAAAGCTCACACAGGCAGCATTTATTAAACAGGCGACATGAAAAATACACTCCCCAAGATGTGAGAGCAGACCTACCCTAAAGGAGTGGGTCCCACCCCATTTTAGGTTTTTCATGTCCTTGTTCCCCACCCCCAAGCAGTGTGGAGTCTGATTTGTTTTGCTTCATGTCAGTCAGGGCTTGTATCCAGGACCAACTAGGGAAGGGTGCATGTTGGGCATGTTTTTCCCACCAAAGCTCCTTGCTGTAGATTTTCCTTTTGTTCTATTTTTCGCGGGCTTTTTAAATTCTGTTTTTCATGGGCTTTTAAATTTCTTTATCTGCCTTTTAGTGCCACTTTTTTTATCACCATTTTGGACTCTTTACTCTACCTAACACCCTCAGAAGCATTCTCTGTTCTCTAAATCTGATATTTAGAAAGCGGTTTACAGCTGTTGTTGTTCAGTCACTAAGTCATTTCCGATTCTTTTCGACCCAGTGGATGGCAGCACGCCAGGCTTCCCTGTCCATCACCATCTCCTGGAGTTTGCTGAAACTCATGTCCATTGAGTCAGAGATGCCGTCCAGCCTGTTAATTTGCATCTAAATAGAGGCTGTCTTCTCAGTGGGATAATCTCTTTTGTCCCCTGAGGGCTCCTACCCTGAGGTTCCAGTAGCTACCAGCCCTTAGCAGGGGAGGAGACTACTTGAAGGTGTGGTGTGGTTGGTTCCTGGAGAAGCAGCAGTTCTGTGTCTTGACACCTTTCAGGTCCTCTGAGGGTCAGAGTACTCATATAGTTTTTGTCAACTAAAAAAAGATGCACAATGTGAGAGCTGTGAGTTAAGTTTCATTTGAGGCAAAATGAGGACTGCAGCCCAGGAGACAGCAGCTCAGATAGTTCTGAGAGATTGCTCCAAATTGCCAGTGGGGGAAGGTCAATGTATATAATTTTTGTGAAGGATGAGTTCAGTGCAATCAAGCTAACTTTACAGAAGATTTTCTGCTAGTCACCAGAATCTGATGTCACCATGAAGGGATTTAGTACTTTTCTAGATGTGAGGGGATGCAAGGATTGGGATCAGTTCCTGAAAATACCAAACTATCTAAAGACCTGTTCCACCAATTTCCTTGGAGCAGAGTGCCTCACCTCCATGCTGGACTGCCTTCAGGGCATGTCAAAGGTAACAGCTGCAGCAGCACAGTCTCCGAAGAGACAGATGGCATATGCCCTTGGCCATTTGTAGTTGACATTTTCTTCTGTTGAATCACAAACAGGGAGGATTGGTCTTTTGAGCAGAATTAAGACAAGCTGGTTCTCAGAGTGAAGTAAATCAGAAAGAGAAAAACCAGTATCGTATATTAACCCATATATATGAAATCTAGAAAGACGATAGTGATGAACCTCTATTTTCAGGGCAGCACAGGAGACACAGACATACAGAACAGACTTACTGACACGGGGCAGGGTGGGGAGTGGGCAGTAGGGAGAAAGTAGAGGGTGGGAGGAATGGAGACAGTAACATGGAAGCATATGCACTACCATGCGTAAAATAGACAGCCAGTGGGAATTTGCTGTATGATTCAGGGAATTCATTCCGGGGCTCTGGAACAACCTGGGGGAGGGGGGGAGGTGGTAGGGAGGTTCAAGAGAAAGGGGACATAGGTACGGTGGTGATGGTTTAGTTGCTAAGTCGTGTCCAACTCTTGCGACTCCATGGACTGTAGCCTGCCAGAATCCTCTGTCAATGGCAAGAATACTGGAGTGGATTGTCATTTCCTCTCCAGGACATAGGTATACCTATAGCTAATTCATGTTGATGTATGGCATAAACCAACACAGTGTTGTAAACCAATTATCCTTCAGTTAAAAATAATTTTTTAAAAATGATTCTTATCATGGTTTAACAAGAGCAAAGTAAAAGTTGGAATGGGGCACATAGCTTTTAAAAGGTCTAGAAATCAACAAATTCTGTTTTTATACTTTTCTCTGTTTCAAAATCAGTTTGTTAGAGAATGTCATTTTTGTGCATGCAGCTTTTGATGAAACCTTGTGATGTTATAGGTAACCCTTATTTTTTGTTTTTAAAGTAGGCTCTTGTCACAGGTATATGCTACTGTTATTGAGGCTGTTTTGGCTGCCATTGCATGTTATGCTAAAACTTCCAGTCTCATAAAGGTAATTTCAATACCACATTTCTCTTTCCTTAGTTATTTTAATGTGAAACTTCGTATCCATTTGTTTTACCTTTGGACACCTTTTAATACTTAATTTTGTGTGTGAGTTTGGGCACCAGACAAAGAGATGCCTTTAGAGTACTAAGGTTGTGATGCCTGGGACCTGCTGTTGTCTTATGAATGACAGCTGATTAGCAGTTCTTTGTAGATATCTGATTGTGTTTTAAAAAAAAAAATCAATCTATAGTATATTTTATTTAGTAGTTTAAAATGATTTCAAAAGTTAAAAAATTAAGAGAAATATAGATTATTCTGCTATGAGTTTTAGTAAAGTTAGATCAGTTTTTGAGCTACATAGTTTGATTTCCTATAATTCTTCATTTTAAAAAATTAACTAAAGACTAGAAAACCTAACTTGCCTCTCCTTGATAGGCATGTATGTTCTCTTTCTCTGACCATTTTCTTTTTTGCTGTTTGTGGTTAACCTGCCATGCTGAGTTGGAGTCTATATCTGACCCAATAACAGATGAGACGAGTTGGCTTGATTCTTCCCCATTGCCAATTGGACCTCTCCTGAAGCAAATCATTTGACACTGGAAAGGTTGTGTTGTAGATACCAAAGAGACTCTAGCCTAGTCACCAGTTCCTTGCCACCTTCCCTCCTCACTGAACTTGAATCCCCCCAGTACTTGGGATTTCTCAGCCCTTGGGCTGAAAGCTTATGCAAAACAACAGGTTATTCTTTGATATCAATTCTGCACCTTTGTTTTTTAACTGATTTTTATAACTTAATTTATTTGCATGTTCTTAGCATCAGGGCAAGAAATACTGAGGGCAGTGGTCCCTCCCCAAGGGCCAGGGAGAGGGGAGGAGAAAGCATTTTTCCAGGCCTCAAAATGGCACCATCCCAGCTGATTACAGCTCACCAGATCAGGTTCCAGTGCCCACCTGCCTGAATGAAGTGTTCTCATGTGAATAGTAAGGACCTTACAGAAGCAGAAGAGATTAAGAAGAGGTGGCAAAAATGCACAGAAGAACTATACAAAAAAGATCTTAATGACCCGGACAACTATGGTGGTATGGTCACTTACCTATCGCCAGACATCCTGGAGTGTGAAGTCAAAGGGGCTGTAGGAAGCTTTAATACAAACAAAGCTAGTATAGGTGATGGAATTCCAGCTGAGCTATTTCAAATCCTAAAAGATGATGCTATGAAAGTGCTGCACTCAATATGCCAGCAAATTTGGAAAACTCAGCAGTGGCCACGTGACTGGAAAAAGGTCAGTTTTCATTCCAGTCCCAAAGAAGGGCATTGCCAAAGAATGTTCAAACTACCATACTGTTGAGTTCATTTTGCATGCTAGTAAGATTATGCTCAAAATCCTTCAAGCCAGGCTTCAGCAGTATATGAACCAAGAACTTCCAGATGTACAAGCTGGGTTTCAAAGAGGCAGAGGAACCAGAAATCAAACTGCCAGCATTCATTGGATCATAGAGAAAGTAAGTGAATTCCAGTAAAATGTCTACTTCTGCTTCATTGACCATGCTAAAGCCTTTGACTGTGTGGATCAGAGCAGACTGGAAATTTGTAAAGAGAAAGGAATACCAGACCAGCTTACCTTTCTGAGAAACATGTATGCATGTCAAAAAGCAACAGTTAGAATCGAACATGAACAACTGACTGCCTCAAAATTGGGAAAGGATTACGACAAGGATACTGTCATCTTGCTTATTTTACTTCCAAGCAGAGTACATCATGCAAAATGCTGGGCTGGATAAATCACAAGCTGGAATCAAGGTTGCTGGGAGAAAGAGCCAATAGCCTCAGATATGCAGATGATGCCACTCTAATTGCAGAAAGTAAAGAGGAACTAAAGAGCCTCTTGATGAGGGCGAAAGAAGAGAGTGAAAAAGCTGGCTTAAAACTCAACACTAAAAAACCTAAGATCACGGCATCCAGTCCCGTCACTTTATGCTAAATAGAAGGGGGAAAAGTGGAAGCAGTGACAGATTTTAGTTTCTTGGGCTCCAGAATCACTGCAGATGGTGACTGCAGCCATGAAATTAAAAGATGCTTGCTGCTTGGAAGGAAAACTATGGCAGACCTAGAGAGTGTATTAAAAAGCAGAGATATCACTTTGCTGACTAAGGTCCATGTAGTCAAAGCTTTGATTTTTCCAGTAGTCCTGTACGGATATGAAAGTTGGACCATAAAGAAGGCTGAGCACCACAGTATTGATGTTTTCAAATTGCGGTGCGGGAGAAGGCTTTTTTTTTTTTTTTGGAGAAGACTGTTTAGAGTCCCTTGGAGAGCAAGGAGATCAAACCAGTCAATCCTAAAGGAAATGAATGCTGAATATTCATTGGAAGAACTGATGCTGAGTCTCCAGTATTTTGCCCACCTGATGCAAAGAGCCCACTCATTGGAAAAGACCTTGATGCTGGAAAAGATTGAAGGCACAAGAGAAGGGAATGGCAGAGGATGAGATGATTAGATAACATCACCAACTCAATGGACATGAATTTGAGCAATCTTCAGGAAATAGTGAAGAACAGGGGAGCCTGGCATTCTGCAATCCTGGGGTCACAAAGAGACACTGCTTAGTGATTGAACAACATGTGAACCCAGCCTGAACCAACCAGGCACCTGTTCCCCTTAACAAGATGTTTTCACTTTAATTTATTGATATATACAGAGTAGTCAGGCAAAGAGGATGGGCAGTGTTCTCCTGGTCAGATGTGAAAAGGGCCCTTTCCTCACAGCTGAATGTACTCTTTCCTGCTGTGAAAGCTAATTGTTTCTGTTTTATTACTGGTTTTTACAGGCCAAGGAGGTAGCTGAGCAGACCCTGGGATCTGGGTTAAATTCCGTTGAGTTGATGCAGTTTAAGGCAGCTCTACGGTAAGCAGTGGCCTATATTACCAATAAAAACTTTTATTTAATGTTTGTATTTTTAAAACTTTCTCCCGCGTATTTGATATTCTGTCTCCCCTTTGAGGAATGTTCTGATAAATCATTAGTATATGAAGGCGAGTCTTTCATGATCAGGGATTTATTTGAGAAGCCAAGGATGGAGGAACTGTTACAGAACTGTTTCAGACATGCTGATTAGACTGGAATGGGAGACATATCAGTGCTAGAACAGACAGATGTGGATTCCAAGGTTAAAAAGATGAAGCTGGGGACATGAGTGGTGAGGTTTGTTAGTGGTGATGATGAGGGGCCTTGGGCACATGAAAATGGTCACTACTTAGAAAAGAGTTGTCCTAGGCCTTATCTGCCTCTCAGATGGTAGAAACCCCTGAGCCTGGCCATGTCTCAGCGTCTAGATTATCTAGGAATTTGGCTTCCTGGCAGTCTTGCCATCACACACCTGGCATGTCACAGTGGATCTCTGTGTAGTCTTTGTCCATAGCTAAACCTTCAGGAACGCAGTCCACTCAACCTTCTGTCCCATATTAGGACCGTTTGGTATAGTTTCTTGTGAAGGAGACAATAGACACCAATATTAGAAAATTTCTTTAAGAATATTTCTGGGGGTTGGAGGAGAAAGGTGGCTTCATGGTGGCTCAGAGGTAAATTAATCTGCCTGCCAGTGCAGGAGACATAGGTATGATTCTTGGTCTGGGATGATCCCACATGCTTTGGAGCAATTAAGCCTGTGTGCCACAGCTACTGAGCATTTGCTTCTAGGGCCCAAGAGCCACAATTACTGAAGCCCAGGTGCCCTAGAGCCTGTTCGCCACAACAAGAGAAGCTCCTGCAATGAGAAGCCTGCACACCACAGCTAGAAAAAAATCCCATGAAGCAATGAAGATCCAGAACAGCCAAAAATAAAATAGCTAATAGATTAAAATACTTCTGGAGGGACTTAATGCAGGGGGCCCAGGTTCTATGCCTGGTCAAGGAACTATATTCCACATGCTGTAACAAAGATGGAAGATTTCATGTGCTGCAGCTAAGCACAGCCAAGCAAATAAATGTTTTTAAAAAATAAATAAATAACACTTTTGGGATGTGCCTTGTGATACCTCAGCTCCATGCCCCACATTTTCTTATATCTACAGCCCTAGGTAGTGAGAAGAAACATTTAGAAAACTAAGTCAGTTAATAAGCTAACAAGAATTCTTTTGCTACAGCTCCAGGAGTGAGTGGAAATGAGCCAGAACTCTTTGGTAAAAGCTTTTTAGGCTTGCTTAAGGTTTCTTGTCCTTTTTTCTGGGTCTTGTGTCTCATGTCTCTGGCCCTAAGAGGAGAAGGCTAGAGGAAGTTTGGTCTCTTAAGGCTGTGTGCTGACCTGTACTATCTGTTCCTGGCAGACTTGAGTTTAAGGAAGCTCCTTAGCTTTCCAGCTGGGTGACTTGGGCAAGATAGGGAGCTCTCTGTGCCTCTGTTTCATCATACTGCTGCCCTGTAGAGTGATTGGACAAGTGAATGATAGCTGCTGTCTCAGTGAGTTCTCTTCTGTTACCATTGGCTTGGCTGACAGAGTCATTCCATTCCTCCTGTCCTCGGGACCTTGCCTAGAACACTCTGCCTTTCTAGAGCAAGCCACCTCTCAATCCCGTGGCCTCCTACATGGGGCTGGGGTTGGGGGGCGGTGTCCCACCCTGGCTAGAGGAAAGAACAAGAGGAGAGCACCCAGGCCATAAGAAGAATCTTCACGAGCCAATTCTCCACTCTAGAGCTCCACTTCTCTCCACATGGTCACTCGTCTCAAACTGCATCAGATTAGCAAATTCTCCCAAGAGGAACACGGGCAGTTAGCATATGACTGACCAGTATTTGTTACAGCAAAAAAATAACCTTAATTCAATTTAGAAACTTTCTTTTACAAAATAGGTGGTGCCAGAAGGGTTATCTGGTTATTCCTCAGTTCTGAAGTCCTGACTTGATTATACAGCAGCAATTGATTGTGGGTAGCAGTCTGGCTCTGAGCAGGGATGGCAGGTTGACTGCAAAGGTGTTGAAGAGAGGAAGAGGATCAGGAGAATATGTCAGGGCCATGGGCTGGAGGCTGGGGCACATAGAGCTTCTCTCAGTCTGTCGTGGGCAGTAGTCACGTAGTTCTCTCCTGCTCTGTCCAAGAGTCAAGGTAGTCCTGAGAATCTGCACAGAGGCAGGGCCATGACTAGAGTCAGACACTAGCCCCATATTTGCTGATGGCATGAAACCCTAGGGCTTTTGGGACATCACATATCTCACTGGGGCTATGCGGGCCCAGCACAGGTGCATTGCAGTAGCAGGTGTTTAGAGAGCTTGCCACACAGTGGTCACAAAAGCAGACTGACTTTTGTTTTATTTTGTTTTGGGTCTACAGCTCCAAGATGGCTTTTCATATACATGCTGTGAATAATCAGGGAAGGTAAGTATGTGTTCATGGTGTGTCCTCATTTGGGGCAAGGTTTAAGAGCAAAATAAGAGAGGCTGCCATGTAACTTCTACCATGGATAATCTTTTCACTCTTCCACACCTGGCAGTGGCATCACTCCAGGGCTGGGCTCAAAGCTGGGTGTGCTCAGCTGAGACCGCTCTATCCTGACTGCTTCCCACGGAAAGACTAGAGTAGGGTCGGGGGTGGATCTGATTCCATCTTTGCATACATGCAACCCAGTGTTTTGATAAAGCTCAAAAGAGATCTAAGTGTGTGAGTTGCTTGCAAGTTGAAAAATAGAGAACATTATAAATCTAATACATGTCTTTCCTATCAATTTCCTTTTCTAGAATCGTGCCTCTGGACAGTGAAGATAGCTTATACTTTGTGAAGACGGTAAGCAGAGCTGTTAAAGGTCAATTGGCAGGGAATGGCCTCTAAAGGACATCTACAGGGGTGAGGTAGGAGTAGGTGGGAGTCTTAGGTAGCCCACTGGAGAAAGCTAGTTGTCTTCCGCACTCTTCCAGCTGCAGCAGTGGTGAACCTGTGCTTTCTGAGGATGCCGGCAGCTGTACCAGGCTCACCACATCCACATGTCTGTGTCTGGCACCCCTAGGTGTAATCTTAGCTGGATGGGTGGCGGAGGGGCACCGGGGGATGGTAAATATCTCTTCCTGAGGTTCGGAAGGCTTCTTTCAAGTGGCTGAGATTTCTCTGACCTCACGTGGAAATGGGAGCTGAGGACAAGCCTACCTCAACACAGACCAGATTTTCACTGGCTTCTCTGTGTTCCAAGGCCTGTGTTGATGCCCTTATTTAAGAGGAGCTTGTGGAAATAAAAACAAACATTTTTTAAAAAACTCACAGGTGAAATGGGGTAGTCAGAGCAGAGCTTTCTGACCTCTCTACTGATGGGCCAGGGGAATGGGTTTAGAGATGCAGAAATTTTGGTGCCTGGGGTGGTCTTCAGCAGCCAGAGTTTCTAGACTAGCTGCTCCCAGTCACATCTGAATCCTCTGCATCCTGCCCCAGTGCATCCTGATACAAAGAAAATTGGCAAGCAGTGCATAAGAGGATGGTGGACATCCAGCCAAGATTCTGGTTGTAGTATATGTGGGTACAAGTTATACCTTATGTCCATTCTGTGGCTCCTGCCTGAACTTTAATTTCAGTGAGATTTTGATCATGGGGAACTGGGTGCACAGGTGTGGATGACTTGGAGAAAATGCATGCCCATTGCCATCATCAGTGGACAAGCAGTAGTGTTGTCTCATCTACAGAGAGTAGTACAACACGAGTAATTTTTTAAGGTTGTGAGTAGTTTCTGTTTTTGTAATGTACTTGCTCCCTGTCTATGTCAGCATTTTGTGTTGTTGTTCTTTTAGAACTAATTGAGACTTTTTTGTAACGTTACTAAGACTGGAAAATGAATACTTTCTGATGCTTAGGTAAATATTTGTCTCCTTGCTAGACTTTAGATTCCCTTACTTCTCTTCTTAGACTCTTAGGCAGTGCTCTGGAAGGTGTTTTTCACTGGAGTAGGTGATTAGGAGTCCAGTACTGTGTTAAGTATGCATTCAGCAGCAGCTAATGAAATAGGAAAGAAAAAATAGGATGTTGGTGCTTTCTGTCCAAATCCTGTCCTCCCTTCCAGGCAGAGATGAAATTCTGCCTTTTCATTTAAGCCTGCCCTACTCATTTCTCCCTATAAGTACTGTATTCTTAAAGTACTCGAAGGTTATACTATATAAATTAGGGAGTAATTCTATAGTGTGTCACATGTTGACTTATTTGTAGGAAAGCTCTTATCTCTCCAACTTTACATTGTAGGTTTCCTAAGAATAGGAACCATGTTTCATATTTTTTCTGTCCCCTTGCCACATATGGGAAGTACGTAGCAAGTGCCTAAAAAATACTACATATATTCTTTTTAATGTCCTCTCTCCCCTTCCTGAACACCAGAGGCCAAATAAGAAAGTGGGGATTAGGAGCTATAGGATTTGTCTTTCTAATTGATCTGGGAACTGAATTGATCATTGTCACCTAAGAGGAACCATGTAGCCCAGGATGGTTCTGTGTCCTCAGATACTCAAAATTCTTTGAAACAAATTTAAATAAATCTTGGCTCAGATGGTAAAATGTCTGCCTGCAATGCAGGAGACCCAGGTTCGATCCCTGGGTCGGGAAGATCTTCTGTAGAAGAAAATGGCAACCCACTCCAGCACTCTTGCCTGGACAATTCCATGGACGGAGGAGCTTGGTAGGCTACAGTCCATGGGGTCACAAAGAGTCAGACACAACTGAGCGACTTCACTTCGCTTCTAGTTGTTATGCCTAATAAGAGAGTTAACAAAAATATAAAGCCTGTCAGTTTTTTATGCATTTCTTTATCATGACAACATGGATGAATAAGGACTTAATGGTTTTTTTTTCCTTTCAACTCTTCGGCCACCTTTTTTTTTTTTCTTTTGGAGAATCTGTCAGTCCCTTCCGTAGGCCAGGGTCTTTTGTCTCTGCCTTAAGGGGTAGAGCAGGGTCCTACACAAGGACATCAAGATATGAAAATGAACTCTAGTTTCAGGAGCTCTGCACCTGGTCATTCAGCAGTGTCAGGCCAGGAGGGGCAGGAACCTGGGAGGGCTTATCATGCAACTTATTTCGTATCCCTCACTAGATCTTCACAGTCATCTCAGACTCCAGTTCATCTCAGACTTCAACTCGGGCTTATACCATTTTCTGCATTTCCTCTGCTAGATTGTCCTCAGAATTATTTTATTTTCACTAGTTTTTAACTAAATTAGAACCTTCTTACCAGCCATTCAGGAGCTTTCTCTGAGTTGCTCCAGTTTTTTTTTTCCCTGACCTATGTAAGACTCTTATTTTTGTCTTGGCCATAAAAGCTTGAACAGCTTTCTTTTAATTTTTTGGTCCTGAAAGGAGTGTTTGCATGTTTTGACATGTAGCCAAAAATATCTGTGAAAACATGTATCTTACTTTCCAGATTTGTTCAGAACTTGAGCCCAAACCAAAGAAGGAATGCATGAGCATGTGGACATAGTAGAATGTGACAGTGGTCACAGTTAAGAAAGGCTGTTACATTGCTTTTCAGGAAGGAGAAACTATTTGAGGGAATTCATAGAAACATAAAGATCTTCTTCTAGCCCAAGTGTGCCTCTGACCTAGGAGCAATTGCAAGGAAGCCTCGGTGATCCTGAAGTCATCTCCCAGTTTGAGATGCATTTCTAGATAACTTGAGTTTTCCTTAGAAATTCTCGAATATTTTTTTGCCATGTGGCTTAGTATTTTGTGGTCTATTTCTTGTGGATCTTTCCCTGAATGTTTAGGACTGACAACTGGTCTAACTCTGGTTTCTCACTTGATACAGGCTTGTATGGCCATCTATGACATTCCTGACTTGCTGGGAGGAAGGGGGTGTTTAGGATCTGTGGTGTTCTCAGAATCATTTTTGACATCTCAGATCTTGGTTAAAGAAAAAGGTAAGTGTATGTCATCTTTGGAAAGCAAAACTTGAACTTGCTTTTATATATATGTGTGTGTATGTATATATGTGTATATATATATATTTGGCAAAATAAACCAGTCTAAATCAAAAGACCAGGAATAAACTGGTGAAAATATTAGAATACTTACAATAAACAAAGGGTGTATTTCCTAATTTATGAAGAGCTTTTACAAATTGATATGAAAAAAAAAGCTACTCAGTAGTAAATGGGCAAAAAATATGAGCAGGCAGTTCACCAGAGTGTAAAATAAAACAAATTTTAAAGTAATATATATGTATTTTAATGTTTATACACACACACATGTACATAGGTGACCCCTGAACACAGGTTTAAACTACACAGATTTTTTTCAATTTTTTTTTCAATTTTTTTCAAGTATATACTACAGAACTACATATTCTATGTTTGGTTGAATTCATGGATGTGGAACCGTGGATATGGAGGGCTGACTGTAATTTTCAACTGTGTAGAAGGTCAGCACCACTAGCCCCCACATTGTTCAAGGGTCCACTGTGTGTGTGTGTGTGTGTGTGTATGAATGTGAATATGTACAGCCTTACTGGTAGTCAGGAAAAACAATTTAAAACAATAGTTAGATACAGTTTTTTTATCCATTATGGTAGCAAAAAATTCTAGAGAATGATAATATCCAGTGCTTGATGACCTTGATAATTTTTGTTTGGTTTTTTAATATAAACACCTGTACTACCTTGACAAAAATTAAAAGCATAGATTGAAAAGGACTCTGTATTTAAATATGTATTTCTGTTTGTCTTAAAAAGAATAATCACATGAGGAAATCTTTCTCCATCCCCTCATTAGGCTCTTGTCCCTAGATGAGGAATTCATTTTCTGAAGGCATCAGACTTTGTATCCTAATAAGAGGAGCTCTCTATCTTGAGGAGGGGAAGCAGTCAGGGGCCTGCAAGGTGGGCTCTGGTGGTGGGCAGTAACCGACTTGTCTGTGGTCTTCCTGCAGATGGCACTGTTATCACAGAAACCAGCTTTATAATCCTGACAGCTGCCATACCCAGATTCTGCTCCTGGCTGGTTAGTGTCATTCATCGGGTGAAAATGGAGATAAACATGGAGAAACTGGGGAGAACGTTTAAGGAAGAGTCTCTGGTGGGATGTCTGATCCTGACCTAACCAGTGTTCAGGAATAGAAGTTTTTATCTTTGCTCTTTTTCTTTATGCAAATGAATCTAATTTCGTTAACTTGTAATCTGGGGTAAATTCCAAAAGAAAGTAACTAGATTATCTGGGTCCCTGTTAAATTGTCAAGGGAAGAAATTAATATCCTCATTATACAGATGAGGAGCCTGAGGTTTAGAAATTTCCCAACCTGTCCAGGGTCACACAGGAAGTGAGAAGTAGATCATGTGCTCCTTTTTCTGTCAGAATGGTTGCTGCTGAGTTTTTTTATAACCATGTCTCTGCATGTGGAAAGGTCCCATCTTCATCTGTGGGACTTGGTCTGAATCTCTGGTGCCTTGGGACGCAAAGTACTAGTAATGGTCTAAGTACCTATTTCAGAATTTGTTTGTATTCTGTTTCTACAATTCTGACCTGAATAAAGATAGGCAAAAGTCATCCTCTAATGTGAACATGTTTAAATGAGAACACACTCAAAATATTTTATTATGTTCTCTTTCCTTCATCCCTAAAATTAGTTTTCTCCAAAATGAAATATAAGTGGCGGTTAACATACTCTTTCCACACATCATAGGCTCATTTAGCTGGACTTCAGGTCCCTGTGAGAGAGCCTACCATGGCCTGGTGCTCTGCGCTTGGTATCCAGCAACCAGGTCTGCCAGTCATCAGGGCCTGAGAACCCTGGATTTGACAGAGAGACTGCTCTCTTAGAAAAATGTGAACACAGGGGGAGACCTAGCAGAGTTTTTGCCCTTGAAGCAGTGAATTGAAAATCTGCTTCTTTTGGACACAGGTAGAAGATATTGAAGTAAAATTGTCTGAGAAAACCCAGCAGTCAGTTCTGGTAAGCAGCCTTCTTATTCTTAATGTTATTAAGATGAAATGTAAACAATTTATAAAAACAATTTAACATATTTCATCTTACTGCTAATCTAAGTGTTCTATACCTCCTTGTCTCAATTCCTGTTTGTATTCTTCCCCTTCAGAGCAGAGCTCTAGAAATAACCATGTATGGAGTACACAAGAGGGATTCTTTGTGCCATTTAAACCTTTTGGTGTTTTTTAAAAATCTCTCAGTACTTTTAGAAGCAGTTCTCAAATTGAGACATGTAAAACTGAAGTTAAGGCTTTAGGCCAAGGAAAAGCCACCTCTGTTATCAGAGGATATAAATTTACTGTAACATGGACAAGCATTGCAGACAGCATGGTGCCTAGCCTGTGAGGAACTTAACATTCTTTTTCTCAGCATAAGTCACAGGTGCCAATAATATGGCAAAGAGCCAAGAAGTGCCAAAAACCGGAAGAGAAAATGAGTATATCTGAGGCTGACTTAGCAGCTTTTGTAGACATACAAACCTAGACAGAACTTTTGATTCTGTGAATGTTTATGCTATAAATCATCTGCTCTTTGTGTTTGTTTTTTCAAGGGAGATGAGTGTTTCCTGGGTACTTTTCTAACTAGAGGAGAAGGAGCATATCTTTATTCTAGTAATTCACAATCTTGGCCTGAAGAAGGTGAGCAGCTCTGACTTTTCTGTTTTTGACTCTGTCTGGGTCCCTCTTTCACAGGTTTTGACATGAATGTTATAATTAATGATACATGTGATATTTGAAAAAGCTTTTGAGTGTAGAAGTGTTTTCCCACAGCTTTTTTCTCTTTTGATCTGTCCATTTTCCAGATGAGGAAACTTGTGCTAGAAAGGACTGCGCCACAACTGCACTGGTCCTCTTGTTGCTGCCCGAGGATTGCTTTCAGGATGGGCTAGAGCAGCAGCATGTCCAGAAATAGGTTCTGTTGGGCCAAAACAAAATCTGGATTACTTTTTTACTGCTGTGTAACAAATTACCACAAATATCATAGCTTAAAACAACATGGATTTGTTATCTCACAGTTCTGTGGGTCAGAAGTCCAGGCATATTTTGCTAGATTTATGTGTAGGGTTTCATAATACTGAAGTCAAGGCATCAGCCAGGCTTATCTCTGGAGTCTCTGAGAAGGAACCTGCTTCTAGGCTCATCCAGATTGTTTGCAGAGTCCATTTCCTTCAGACTGGAGAACTAAGGGTCCTTTTTTATTGCTGGCTATCAGCTGGAAGCAGTCTTAGCTCCTCTTTCCAGAGGTCCTTGCCCTGTGACCCTCTCCATCTCAGCAGCAAAGAACTTTTCGTTGTGTTGAATCTCTCTCACACTGCTAATCTCTCTGAACTCTTCTACCACCCAGAGAAAACTCTGCTTATAAAGGGCTCTTGTGATTGAAGGAGACCCAATCAGATAATCTCCCTTTTGTCATATAATGTTACACGAACACTGGAGTAACCTAAGAGGATGAAGGTCATGGGGGCTGTTTTTAATTTCTGCATACCATAGTATGCCCTCTGACCCCCACAGTTCTCACATGGAAGATATAATCACCCCTATCCAAGAGCCTCTTTCCATTTTGATAACAATTCAAAGTCTTAACTCTCACCAGCTGAAAAATCTACAATCTCATCATCAGGATTATCTAATCAGCTGTAGGTTAGGCTCTGGCTTGTAATTCATAAAGTACAGCTCTTGAACACATTTCCTCTCCATCTATGGACCTGTGAAATTAGAGGCTCTTTTATCTGCCCTAGCCCTCCCAATGTACAAGGTAGGAGTGGCATATGTTATAGACATTTATATTAAAAAGGAGTCCCAGCCCAAGACAACTTTGAAATTAAGCTAGGCAAACTCCAGCTCCTGGATTAGGTTTCAAGGCCTGGGAATAGTCCTCCAAGACCCTTAGCTGTGCCCTCTGGGTTCTTTGTTCTACTTGTTAAGCTCTTGGTTCTGCCTCCTGGGTTCATGACTCTACCCTCTTGGTTTGAGACTATACCTGTGTCATCCTTCCTCTTCATGAAGGTGGCACTTTGTAGCTTATTAGTTTTTCAGCCTGCTTCTTGCCTCTAGAATTTTGGGGGTCCAACAGTCTCCTTTCATTTTCTATTCTCTCTATCCCCTTCAGTCCAAATTGGCAGTATTTCTGCTGATTTAAAGTTCTCAAGAACTCTGTGGGTCTTGCATTGATTTCCTGGGATTCATTCCATACTCCTTTTGGTCTCCTCAAAATAACATATTCTTATGAGTCCTATTCCTTCCATGTTAGATAAGCCTTTTTTGTTCCACAAATTCCTCATCCTTTACTAAGCAGATTCTCTCTCTGGATAATTTGTTCTTCTTGAAAATATTTTCTCCAGTGGCAAGTTGCTCTCTATGTTCTCAGATCACTGGTTAAACGTCTGCTTCTTCATTGTCATAGAAGACAAAACACAAGGAGTTCTGGTTTTCGATCCACAAAATGCCACATAGCGTTCATTATCATGACTGTGCTGTGGCCCCTGCATTTCTGCCTCTCCAGATCCTGGTGCAGAAGACCAGGAAGTTAGGAACATTTGCTGAAAACAAGAGTATGTGTGACAGTACTCCCAGCCTTGAGGCTGAATTGCATAATGTTTTAAAATCAGCTTGTAGACACAACACAGAGACAGTTATACTCCGTCATAGTTGAGCCAGTTATAATATTTAGCAAGGATATTTGCCAAAATTAGTTTGCACCTTCTTAGCAAAGGGCCTTGTTAAAAAAATAATCTTACACTGTATTGAGTTATCCAGCAAGATTCAGTCTATCCTGAGGTCTCTGTTGTTGTTCAGTCACTAAATCATGTCCGACTCTTTGCCACCCCATGGCTGCAGCACGCCAGGCTCCCCTGTCCTCTACTGTCTCCTGGAGTTTGCTCAAATTTATGTCCACTGAGTCAGTGATACTATCTCTTCCTCTGCCACCCTCTTCTTTACCTTCAGTCTTTCCCAGCATCAGGGTCTTTTCCAATGAGTTGGCTTTTTGCATCAAGTAAACAAAATATTGGAGGTTCAACTTCAGCATCAGTCTTTCCAATGAACATTCAGGGTGAATTTTCTTTAGGATTGACTGGTTTGATCTCCTTGTAGTCCAAGGGACTCTGAAGAGTCTTCCTCAGCACCACTATTCAAAAGCATCAATTCTTCAGTACTCAGCCTTCTTTATTGGAGAAGGGAATGGCAGTCCATTCCAGTATTCTTGCTTGGAGAATCCCATAGACAGAGGAGCCTGGCAGGCTACAGTCCATGGGGTCACAAAGAATCAGACACGACTGAGTGACTAAGCAGCAGCAGCAACCTTCTTTAGGTCCAGCTCTCACCTCCATACATGACTAATGGAAAAACCATAGCTTTGACTACACAGGACTTTTGTTGTCTTAGAACTGATTTCCAGTTGATTCTGAAGAATGAACATGCCAGCAGCCCAGACCAGTGCCTTTTCTCAGGCTCTGAACCCTTGGGACTGAAGAAAATTAAATCAGGTGGAAGTCACATGCTCATTTACAAGTAATTTAAAAATGGCAGAGTAGAAGGACATGTGCTCATCTTCTGTGAGAACTCCAAAATTGCAACTCACTGCTGAACTACCGTCAACAGGAGGATGTTGGATACCACCAAAAAAAGATAACACATGTCAAAGGGCAAAGGAGAAGATACAACAAGATGGTAGGAGGGGCAAAGTGGCATTTAGAATCAAACCCAATACCTTCCAGAGACACTTGGAGGGCTCAAACAAAACTTTGTGTGCACCAGGACCCAGAGGCCCCACAGAGACTGAGCCAGACCTGCCTTTCAGTGTTTGAGTGTCTCCTGCCGAGGCATGGGTCAGCAGTGGCCTGCCTGCCACAGGGACAGTGACTCTGGCTGCAGCAGACCTGGGACACGTGGTATGTGGCCTAAGCCCTCTTAGAGGAGGTTACCATTAGCCCCACCATAGAACCACTGAGCAGACGACCCACAAACTGTAGTACTATTATACCAAAGAAATTCTCGAAGTGTTAAAAAAGTTCTAGGACCCACAACGGATATCCAAACCTGGGGATCTGACAAAGGAACTGAGAACCTCCAGGGAATTTGACTTTGGAGGCCAGTGGGATTTAATTACAGAACTTCCACAGGACTGGGGAAACAGACTTGTGGAGGGCACACACAAAACTGTGTGTGCACCAGGACCCAGGAGAAAAGAGCAGTGTCCCCACAAGAGACTGAGCCAGACTTGCCTGTGAGTGTCCAGGAGTCTCTGGTGGAGGCGTGGGTTAACAGTGGCCTGCTGCGGGTCAGGGGCACTGAATACAACAGTGCCCGCAAAAGTCTTTTTGAAGGAGGTCGCCATTATTGACATTACCCCTACCATAGTTTGGCCTCAACCAAACAAGGAGGGAACACAGCCCCACCAATCAATAGAAAATTGGATTAAAGGTTTGCTGAGCATGGCCCCACCCATCAGAACAAGACACAGGTTCCCCCACAATTAGTCTCTCCATTCAGGAGCTTTCCACTAGCCTCTTATCCTTATCCATTAGAGGGCAGACCAGAATGAAAACCACAGTCATACAAAACTAACCAAACTGATCACATGAATTACAGCCTTGTCTAACTCAATGAAACTATGAGCCATTGCCATGTAGGGCCACCCAAGATGGATGGGTCATGGTGGAGAGTTCTGACAAAACTCTCTAGTGTTCCACTGGAGAAGGGAATGGCAGACCACTTCAGTATTCTTGCCTTGAGGACCCCATGAACAGTATGAAAAGGCAAAAAGATAGGACACTGAAAAACGAGCTCCCCAGATCAGTAGGTGCCCAATATGCTACTGGAGAAGATTGGAGAAATAAGAAAGAATGAAGAGATGGAGCCAAAGTGAAAACAGTGCCCAGTTGTCGATGTGACTGGTGATGGAAGTCAAGTCCAATGCTGTAAAGAAGAATATTGCATAGGAACCTGGTATGTTAGGTCCACAAATCAAGGTAAATTGTGTGGATCACTAAAAAACTGTGGAAAATTCTTCAAGAGATGGGAATACCAGGCCAACTTACCTGCCTCCTGAGAAATCTGTAGGTGAGGAAGCAACTGTTAGAACCGGACGTGGAATAACAGACTGGTTCCAAATTGGGAAAGGAGTACGTCAAGCCTGTATATCGTCACCTTGCTTTTGTAACTTATATGCTGAGTATTATCATGCAAAATGCCAGGCTGGATAAAGCACAGCTGGAATCAAGATTGCCAGAAGAAATATTAATTACCTCAGATAGGCAAATGACACCATCCTTATGGCAGAAATCAAAGGGGAACTAAATAGCCTCTTGATGAAAGTGAAACAGGAGAGTGAAAAAGCTGACTTAAAACTCAGCATGCAGAAAAACTAAGATCATGGCATCTAGTCCCATCACTTCATGGCAAATAGATGGGGAAACAATGGAAACAGTGAGAGACTTTATTTTCTTGGGCTTCAAAATCACTAAGGATGATGACTGCAGCCGTGAAATTAAAAGATGCTTGCTCCTTGGAAGAGAAGCTATGACCAACCTAGACAGTATATTAAAAAGCAGAAATATCACTTTACCAATCAAGGTACGTATAATCAAAGGTATGGTTTTTCCAGCAGTTATGTGCATATGTGATATTTGAACTGTAAA